ACTTGTGTGCTTGTGTGAGTGCGACCAGGAAAAGAGACGAAGAGAGAAAAGCGTGGCCAGATTTGCAATGCTGGAGGAATGTGTGTGCGGCGTAGTTGCTCGTGAGAAGGGGGCTGTGAAGTTCCAGGACTTGCGGGGATCTTGACCACGAACTTGTTTGTTTCCTTTCTTCTTTTTTTTCGATCGCTCGGGCGGAAATTTTATTCAGCGGGCGAATAATTTTATTCTGCGTGTGTACTTGGGGAACGCGTGAACGTTTCACCCTTTAGAGTCTCGAATGGGTTAGTCGCAGATGCACAGAATGAAGATAGGTTTCCTCGATACAGATGCAATGCAGTTATTCCTTTGACTTGGATTGAGAACATTATATGAAGTACCGAGCCCGAATGCCGTAGATAATTTAATGCATTGAGGCTGAAGGGGAAAGTCTTCAAATTGAAGATATTTTTCTCAGCGATTTGTCCCGGAACCAAGCCGTAATTTAACAATATACTGAAGGTAAATACGCGCGGTATTCGATCGCAACGTTCTGTTGATTTCGACAGCTCGGAACGTCTTCACCATCCACAAATAAAATCACCCCTCTTGCTCTGAACTTGCTGCTAAAATTTGAAGTTTTGTGCACCTCGGACAACTTGTCCTATATCTTTTTCATCTAACATAGGAGTATTTTAATTTCTTGAGAGATCATGTTTACTGAAGTTCGCGCTCACAATGACATGCGTGGAAGATTCCAGGAACACACGCCGTTAAATCTACCGAAAATGGAAAAAAGCTCGCTTTGTTCGAACGTAAAAGTGTAAATAAAAAGCAGAAATAATAGGCAATAGAATCGAACTGTCGAAGGGAACGGAACGAACTTTTCCAGGAACTTGAAACCTTCGGAATTTTCCGGGGGTCGAGAATGATTCTAGAAACTTCGCTTGGTCTTTTCTGACTCATTTCGAACTGCGATTTCCTAGAGTTTTGCCAATTGAATAGCAAAACGGTCTTCCGAATGATGGATTCCTTCTCTTCTAGCCCTTCGTCCGCTAGGAAGACAATACAGCTTCATATTCAGATTGACAGTCTTCCTCAATTTTTTTTTATGTCGTCTTCCTATTCCCGTATCCGCCGTGAAAGATGAATGATCGCGTTGTTGAGATTATTTTTTTATATGTATTTTTTGCTCGCGGAATCACGACCTAAAATTTTATCGTGGTACAGTACTTCAGAAGGCGCATCACGGTTTTGTAAATCCGATGATTTCCGGCGGGTGCGAAATTGGGTTGGGGAATATCGGTGTATCATGGAGTAATATCCGGTGGAAATTTCTTTGGTCATCCTTGTCGGTTGTTGTGCAATCCTCCGCTCTTTGCAATACTGTACAGTAGAAAATTTGATATCGAGTGAGAGTCTGTTCATACTTTCGGTTGGTCTTGTGTTTCCCGTGTTGGAATGCCCATTCAGAGAGATTGACTTGTTTTTCGGGTTTTGTACTCCCTAAACATTGTTCCTATATTTTCTCACCTCGGTGGAAACGTGGAATAGATAAGTAGCTTAACATGTAGCTTCATTGGTGTAAGGATGTAAATGCACAGTACTTTTCACACTTCGGAATTTGTCGACAGTGAGAAGTGATACAAAATACTGTGTTGTCGTTGGAACTCCTGGTGAAAATGTCAGAGATGGCAATTTATCATGGTTTGTGTTGAACGTGAAGGAAAAAACCCTTGGAATATTGATTGGTGAGTAAGAAGTTGTCAAAAGTTCTTGTCTGATGGTGAAGTAAATATTTTACGGAGTACAGTACTGTACTTCGGAAATGGACAAGGGTTTCTTCTCGAAGTTAGTCATCATTTCCGCGTGTGTTTGCAATTTTTTTTTCTTTCAGGAACTTGCTCTTTAAAAAAGTCACTTCATGGTATTCACATCTTGTGGCAATCCTTTGTATGATTTTCGAGGATGCATTCATGGCTGTCCCATATTTTCTGGATGTAATTTTTACCTTGAGAAATATGGTGACGAAGTTTTATTTTTCGGGTTTTCCGAATAATTCCCCTAATTCGAATGATATGATTTTCAATTCAAGGAAAAATTAACTTTTTTTGCCCCCAACTGTTGACCCCGTGGAATTGAATTTCTCGTAGATATCGTGGGAATTATGACTTGACCAAAGTCGCTAAGACTTTTCGTTGTGGCTTATCTGACATAACTGATGTCATTTCAATTTCTTTCCAAAATTAGACACATTTTGTGGTGATTTATTAAAATTTACTGGGGCATTTTTGGATTTTTTCCGCATGTGTTGTATGCTGTTGAATCTCAAAATGTAATCCACAATTCAAAATGCAGGCTGGTCATTTTCTATGAATTTCTTCATGAAGCTGCGGGTTCAAACTCTTAAATTTAAGGTGTTTCTACTTGGAAAATCAGTGCACGGTATCTGAAGGCTCATATGCGGAATTATGATGTTGACTACCATTAATTAACTAGGGAAAAAGCCCTTGCATTTAGGCGGAATTGGATGTACAGTATAGAGACTATGAAGATGAGGTGTTTCAATATTTTGGGATTCAACAACTTCTGAATTTTCCCTTCGAGAGTAAACCTACTCCGTGTACTTGACTGAAAAATGCAATGCTGTAATTCATTTTGGTCCGACGTTCGGGTGACAGAGAGGAATGTCAAACCCCTTTTATTTGATCAAAACATGTGTCACGGGTTTTACTGCAAAGTCGGTAAACGGAATGAGAACAGTCGTCACATGAATGTCTTATAGTGTGTGATTGGCGTTGATCATTCAACCCGCAAAGTGGTTTGGTTGCTGTAGGCGGAGTGAAAACTGATTGATGTTTTTTGACTTTGCTTTGTGTCATTCTCTCTCTCTACTCTGTCTGTCTGTCTATCTCTGACTCTCGCGTACACACGCACCGCAACTTTCTTGGGAAGTCGTAGAAGGGAGGAAATGGGAAACATGTAAGGAATGAATTTTTCGAACGTGTGTGGGTAAAAGATAAGGATACGAAAAAAGAGAAGAATGAAAATGGATCCAAGGTCAGCATTGTTCTTTCTCCCCAATGCACCTGGGGATAAAAAAAAAATGCTTTCTTCGTTTCTGAATAGCTGATTCATTCTTCGCTCCGGTTTCCCCGATTGTATCCTGTCTGCTTTCTTGGCGTTTTCGTTTGTAACAATCTTTTAAATGAAAATTTCGATGGACTTGACGCTGAGTTTGCTCAAGTTTTGCGTGGGCGTCATGATTTCTTTAATTTCTACAAAAAGGAAATGAAACCTGAATTCTCCATAAAAAAAAAAGTTGGCAAGTGAAAAGGCTTCAGGCATTGAAAAGCACGAAAGGAAATGTGCGTACTTTGTGTCACGATTTTGGCGAGCCGTAAAAATATAACTTCTTCATAAATTGTCAAAAAATTGCCCTTTCCACTCCGCTGAATTCCGGCCTGGTTATTGTAGTCGTAAAAGGCGCGATTTATTTATTTTTAGTTTTTTTCCATAGTTCTTACCCTTGTGCACCGCGGAGACAAGTTTTCGGTGTTCTAAATCGATCTCCAAGCATGTAGTTGAATTCTTCTGTTCATGTTCAATTTATATTTTTTCTTTTTTCGAGTTGGAGACTTACGCAATCGAATTTGCTTTGATGAGCGAGAAATATTCGTGCAAATTTTCCACGTCGGACTGCCTCTTGCAAAACTCCTCTCCCGCCCTTCAAGTCTTCAAAAATGTTCCGAGCAAAGAGTAGAATTCGTTCCACGTCTCGTTTTTTTTTCTTCTTCGTAGAAAATCATAACAGGAAATTTTCTCCTAGAAAATTCTTATTTTTGACTGACTTACTGTAACCCGGGTTCCTTTAATGCGTTTTTCAATGTCGCAGATCCCCTTAAGCTTCATGGTAATTATGTTGTTGAGAGATCCCAGGGCAAAGGCATTTCTGTCTGTTTTCGCATTTTTTCATGAGGCTTGAATATCTTCGGTTTCTCGTCTGCAGGTTTGAATTGACGTACATTTCATTGGACTAACATTGAATTAGTTGATGACAGTTGAGATCATCCACTTCAATTTCAGTTTATATCGTGTCAATTTGGTTTAGGCATACTGCAGTTTCTTTCAGTGAAGTGAAATTGTTGGTAATTAAGGAGTCCAAGTTAGGTTAGGTTGTACATTAGGCTAATATTGAGCTACCACATTTTCAGTGAAGCCAGACTTGGTCAAGTTCACCTGACGTTGGTGGAAGGAAATTTTATATTAATGTGTGCTGAGTTGAGATGTACTTGACTTGTGAAGTGTTCAAGTTCATTTGGTACAATTATTATACAATTAACTTTGGTGGACTCTATTTGAATTGATTCGAGGTAATTTCGATGAAACTATATATATTTTTAATTAGAAGCATTGTAGGTTAGATCACGAATCAATCCCCAACAAAATCATGGTTTGGTAAAATCAATTCAAGAGACCACATGATGCTCTCGAAACGGGTTGTTTTGTACATATCATAAAAGAATAATTAAGCTCTGAGGAAAAATTATTTTCGGGCACAGTTCCGAGTTTTTTTTTTCATTTTGGAGACTTTCTGTGGTGAAAAATTTAATTTGATTCTGCTAAGATAAATCAAAAATAAATCCCCGACAAAATCTTATCTTGGTAAAATTGATTCAGGAGACCACCTGATGATTTCGGAACGGGTTGTTTTGTATCAAACGAATGATAAAGCTCCGAGGAAAACATTTTGTCGTGTTCAGTTTCGAGTTTTTTTTTTTCAGGTTAGAAACTTTGTGGGAGCATACAAACTATTCCACGAATCTTTGTAGCTTATTTTTGAACAAAAACTTCAAGATTATCGACTGTTTATTTAAAGTGGATCAAGTCCCTTTTTTCGATTTCAAATGCCTTGTCTTGGAATTTCTCAATTTTTCCAACATCGCCTGGAAATTTAGACCGTAGGCTTCAGCGTCCGTGTTTTTATTTATACTGTATACTGTACTCCGCTGGACGTAGCTTTGATGAAAGCGGGTTGCCATGTGTGTCAACCCAGATTCCGAACTGGGTCACGGCCAGTCGTGGTTTGTGATATAATAGGTCGAGTAAGAGGCGGCGGGAACGAGGTGGAAGGAAAAAAGGAAAGGAGAAATGAGGTCGAGGAGGACGTAACGAGTTGCGTATTAATGGAAACCACTCGGTGGACCTCAAGCATTTTCTCTCTCTCTCTCGCTTGGGAAAAGAGTCTCTTTCATGTTGTGATCGAAATGCGTTTACAGTATTTTTACGAGACGCTCGCTGTTAGACCATGTTTTTTTGGTTATTCGCATGAAAAGGAAAAATCGAGAAAGACGTAAAACACAAATTATTCATCGAGGGAAATATTCCGCCTTTTTTTTCAAGTTTATCCTTCTGACCATCGTTCGAATTTATTCTAGATATCGAAAGAGACTTTGTGTTGATTCAGACGGGAATCTTCTTGTCGAATACCAATGCAGTACAATACAGTATGTCAAATTCTCTTGTTTTTACGCGGGAAATTTTTTTTTTTTAATCGGATGAGTTCCTTGATTATCTAAATCTGCTCGCCGTGTCGAACTTTCTGATCGATTCTTTTATTTTCTTCGTCACTCAGGTGGATGATCAGATGAAGCTACTGCAGAATTCCTGGTCAGACATGCTCATACTGGATCACATGCACCAACGGTTGCACAACCATTTACCAGACGAGACGACTTTGCCAAATGGCCAAAAGTTTGACATGTTGTCATTGGCACTACTGGGCACCTCCAACGACCCCGTCCAGAAGGAACGGTTCAACGAATTGTCTGCGAAACTCCAAGAGCTCAAGTTTGACCTGTCCGACTACGTGTGTCTCAAGTTTTTGTCCCTCCTCAATCCAGGTTTGTCATTCTCCGAGTCTGCTGTTCTGTTCTTTTGAAGCCTGAAATGTAGTTAAACCTATAGAACTCTGTGATGAACTGATCTTTTCAAACGCGGCAAATTTGTTTCGTAAGGGGCTTGGATGAGTACTGTATAAGTGTACAGTATTGTTATCCTTATTGGGAGAAATCAATAAAAGACTCTGTCGCGACTCTAGAAGAACGTCTTCTTCTTGATACGATAAATCTTAGACAACTTTTATTCCCAAGGATAAGCTTCTCATTTCAGCCTCATTTCTGGTAGAAGCAACATCTCCAGGTGAGAACTTTTAATAGCCTTTCTTGAGTGATTTTTCTTTCTCAGGCTGTTCAGTTTAATTGTCTGAGTGCCCTAAAACAGTTTTTACCCGATTTACAGGTGTTTTAAGTGCCTCAAAAAATAAAAATCGTCGTCGTCGTACGAGACGACGCTGCGGAAAAGATCGACGCGGAGCGCGGATTTCGGGCTGATTCGCCTCAGAAACACTTGAAAAACAAGAAGGACAAACAAAAAGTGTGGAACCACATCCTTCGGACATCACTGGGTCAAATTAGTGACAACAATGGGAGTCTACAACATCCTGGCAGTGACATCTGCAATTTTCATGGTTAGTTTCCAAAACAGTGGTTTTTGCACACAAATTTCAATTTTTTCCATTGAATATTTTTCAGACGGTGTTATCCTTCGGACATCACTGGGTCAAATTAGTGACAACAATGGGATTCTACAACATCCTGGCAGTGACATCTGCAATTTTCATGGTTAGTTTCCAAAACAGTGGTTTTTGCACAAAAATTTCAATTTTTCCATTGAATATTTTTCAGACGGTGTGCTTCCAGCTGGTCAAGCCTTGTGAAGAAGTTGGTGGCAAGTTGGTCTGCATGGATGTATGCAATGTGAAGAAACCTGGACAGTATGATTTCAAGGTGGATTTCCAGGGCAACAGGTTGGATCTCTCCTGTGTTGCATACAAAGGACTCAAGGTTGGTGTCATTTTTCTTTCCTTCCATTCTGAAACATTGAAAAGCAGAATAATCAGTGAATGACAAATTTTTCAGAAGGTGCAGCTGTTTAAGAAAACATTCTGCAGAGGAAGATCAAATGGCATGGAAGAGATTGTGGAGCCCTGGGACTACTGTTTCTTCAAGTATGAAAGTGAGTAATCCCTTGTTTTGAATTTCTTGGAATTTTGGATTTTGAGAATAGTTTAACAGCTGTTTGGGTTATGGCATGGAAGAGATTGTGGAGCCCTGGGACTACTGTTTCTTCAAGTATGAAAGTGAGTAATCCCTTGTTTTGATTTTGTTGGAATTTTGGATTCTGAGAACAGTTTAACAGCTGTTTGGGTTTTTCAGAGAAAACAACAGAAAAAGTGGTTATGGAAGAGCTAGAGGACAAGGAAGCCATTCAGGAGAAACAGAACCTTTTCCTTCGTTCCTGTTGTTGGGACAGAAGTGGTTTAAAGTAGTTTCTTTGGTTTTAGGTCTGTTGAAGAGAAGGAGGACAAAGGACTACAACTTCAACTTCAACTTCAAGGCCAACAACTGCTTCCATTCCTTCTACGCCAGTGCCTCAGCCAACCATGGCCTCTTGGTCTCCGACACACGTGATTCCCACCATCGGGGTCACAGTCACTCCTTTTCCTGTCATCAGCGCGTCATTGCCGACATCCTTTCCGACTTCCGTGTCGACCTCTTTTCCGACTGCAGTGACGACAGTGACTTCCCCTTTGGTGACAGCACCAGTAATTCCTGCTACACCCTTGACACCACCCCAATCCACGGAAATTGATAATTTTTCCAAAGTGATGAGTGACTTGGGGAATCTTTCCAAGTTAAACATTTCTGCGGAATTTGTGGATGGCACCGTGGTTCATGCGGTAGTGCCTAGTTGGGTATTGCAAACCTTAATTTGGATTGGCGGTGTAGTGGGAGTTACTTCGCCTATCGCACTCTGCGTTTTCTGCTGTTGTCAACACATTAAGTTCAAGGTGTGTTGATTAATACTCACACTAGCTGGTTCTGGGTTTTCTAAACGGTCTTGGGTTTTTTGCTTGCCTTTGTTTTGCATTAACTTAAAAAGAAGAATGAGGAGTCAGGAGTGGCACAAAGTTCGAAAATTAATAAAAGGGGAACTCGATCATTTCCAAATCCTTCTTTTGAGGAGGAAATTGAAATGGCTGAGTTGCCTTCATTGGCCACAATTCGACCCTTAATCTCTTCGTTCCGTAAGTTCAAAGTTCAAAAATTAATAAAAGGGGAACTCGATCATTTCCAAATCCTTCTTTTGAGGAGGAAATTGAAATGGCTGAGTTGCCTTCATTGGCCACAATTCGACCCTTAATCTCTTCGTTCCGTAAGTTGCATGCCTTATTGCTTTTTGGCTTTTTTGCTTCACCGTTTCTATTCCCAGGTCCGACCCGAGCAATTGAGTGCAGCGGACGTCTTTGCACGTCTGGGTTGGCCACTCCTGCGTGCTTGGATGCTGAGGAGACGGAGTTTTAGGACTCCTCCTCCAGGGGTTGTTCCTCCAGGGCCAACTCAGGATAACATTAGCCTAGACAGTTTCCATACTGTGGCTATAGTGTAATGCGCGCGTATTTTAAGTTGTTGTTTCGAAGCGCGTTAGAGATGTTGTTGTAGTTAGGGGGACTCCAATAAAATGATGTCCTCCAATTTCACCGTTTCTATTCCCAGGTCCGACCCGAGCAATTGAGTGCAGCGGAGGTCTTTGCACGTCTGGGTTGGCCGCTCCTGCGTGCTTGGATGCTGAGGAGACGGAGTTTTAGGACTCCTCCTCCAGGGGTTGTTCCTCCAGGGCCAACTCAGGATAACATTAGCCTAGACAGTTTCCATACTGTGGCTGTAGTGTAATGCGCGCGTATTTTAAGTTGTTGTTTTCGAGGCGCGTTAGAGATGTTGTTGTAGTTAGGGGGACTCCAATAAAATGATGTCCTCCAACTTCTTGTTGTTCACTTTTTGTTTTTGTTCGTCCACAGCCTGTCAGCATCATCACCATCAATCGTCAGCAGCATGAGCACCCTATTTTTCTTCCAGCTTTCTTTTCTTTCAACAGATGTAAAAAATGCTTTTTAGTCAATTCTGCATACAAACAAACAAACACCAATACCTTCAGTGTAGTAGAGTAAGATAAAAAGGATAAATCAAGGTACTGACACCTAAAACAGGTTCTAACAATAAAACAACACCAAGAATACATTCCACAACAACAATCTAGATATATATATGAAACATAACCTCCAAAGCATAAGAATGATAGAGTACTAGAGTATTGAAGGTTCTTGCTGTTATTTGATTGCCATTAGACCAGTGGTAGCATTGATTTGCAACCTGGGATACTGGGGGACAGACGGCGCATTTCTAGAAGGGACCAATTCAATATTTGTGCCCTCTAACAAATTCATGTTTCTCCTGCGTCTTCTCAGAATTACATATCGGATTTTAGCAAAACATAAATAGGATATACTCAACAAGATGATAGACATTAAAACTACAGACACAATCAGATATATGTAGCCATAATCTCGAAAATGTAACTGTAGGTCACTAATGTCTTCGGCCACAGAACTTCTAGGTTTAAATGCAGGAATCTCTTCTACTGCATTAATTTCAACATTTTCAAGCTTAGGTAAAATATCTTGAAATGGTCCATTGACCAAGGTATATCTGCAGTTCTGATTAAATTTAATGATTCCAGAATATGGTAGTTCGTATGAATTTTCAGACGCAGGGGTTTCTTTGTTTGGACTTTCGGCACAGTATTGGGTTATTCTTCCCTTGTCCGTATCAATATATGCAAACTCGTCTTTGTCCAATTGTATCACCATATTTTCGGGCATCTCCACCAGTTGCATTTTACAAGCAACTTGGATCATTTCTTCATTAGCTCCCTCTTGTATCTGTTTAATACAAAGACTAGCGGGGCGTACTGGGAGATGGCCGGCATGACAAATTTGGCACCCTGATTGTCCTAACCTTGGCAAACACTGGGGTATCTCGGACCCATATGCGGCATAATAATTGTCGCCTCTTTTTAGAAGAAAAGGATGCTTGATTTCGGTTTGCATCCATTTAGGGGAGCCAAGGTAGGTTTCTCTAGCCACAGGTATCGTGTGGATTCTGGATACGTATACTACTTCATCGGGTGACAACACGGGCACGATAGTCATAGTTCTATATTCACAGACGCTTGTTTGATCTTTAAGATTGTCGCACTGAAATGAGCCTACAGTCACTGGATTTGACTTGATCATCTCGAACAAATCATGGGCTGTTACTTTAGTTTTTGAATATCTTGGTTCGGTTGTTAAAATTTCTTCTAACACCGATTCAATGACATTTGCTTGATTTCGGTTTGCATCCATTTAGGGGAACCAAGGTAGGTTTCTCTAGCCACAGGTATCGTGTGAATTCTTGATACGTACACTACCTCATCGGGTGACAACACGGGCACGATGGTCATAGTTCTATATTCACAGACGCTTGTTTGATTTTTAAGATTGTCACACTGAAATGAGCCTACAGTCACTGGATTCGACTTGATCATCTCGAACAAATCGTGGGCAGTTACTTTAGTTTTTGAATATCTTGGTTCGGTTGTTAAAATTTCTTCTAACACCGATTCAATGACATGGATATCAAAAAGGTGAATGGGAAAAACAAACTGTTTGACTTTCTCTATATCATCCTGAATCGTTAAGTTTCATGAACCAGGCAATGGCTCTACGACTGTCGTTCTGCCTTTGACGGCTTAAATAAGGTATCGCAATGTGGTCCGTACGGATCACAAAGGGATGACCCCATAAGTACGATCGGAACTGTGACACACCATAATACACTGCCAGTAATTCTCGGTCGGTGTTAGGATACCGAGATTCTGCGTCGTTTAAAGTTCTACTGGCGCATCCAATCAAAACCTCGCGTTTTCCAGGCTTTTGAGTTAGTACCGCACCGACAGCAATAGCTGAAGCGTCAGTGGTTAGTATGAATTCGTGAGCGAAATCGGGAAAAGATAGAATAGGTGCAGTAAGGAGACATTTTTTCAAACATTCTACGGCGTCTTGCTGAGGTTTCTGCCATGAGAAAGCAGTATCTTTCTTGAGTAAAAGATACAACGGTTTAGCTTTAAGTGCAAAATTCTGAATGTATGACCGGAAATATCCTACAAGACCCAAAAAGGCTTGTACTCCTTTTACTGTTTCTGCCATGAGAAAGCAGTGTCTTTCTTGAGTAAAAGATACAACGGTTTAGCTTTAAGTGCAAAATTCTGAATGTATGACCGGAAATATCCTACAAGACCTAAAAAGGCTTGTACTCCTTTTACGTCTTTAGGAATGGGAAAATTTTGAATTGCTTCAATTTTCGTAGGATTTACTCGGATTCCGGTTTCACTAATCAAAAATCCCAAATATTCTATTTGAGTGCGGAACAACTGGCACTTAGAAAACTTTACTTTCAAACCTGCTTCTTCTAGACGCTGTAGAATGTCAGATAAATGAGTGAAATGTTCGTCGGCGGTCCGCGAATATATTACAATGTCGTCGACGTAAATGTAGGCGTAAATTCCCAAACACCCATCCAATACCAAATGCATCAGCCTCTGAAAAATAGAAGGGCTATTCTTGAGTCCCATGGGCAAACGAATAAATTCGTAATGTCCCATAGGCGTCGAGAACGCCGTCTTCCATCTTTCCTCTTCACGAATCTTTATATTGTAAAATCCGTGAAGTAAGTCGAGAGCTGTAAAGTACTTGGCATTTCCTAATTCCTCAAAGATTTGGTTAATTCTGGGAAGGGGGTGCGCGTCCGTAATTACGTGGTCATTAAGACGCCTAAAATCCACAACCATTCTCCACCCACCGTCCTTCTTCTTCACCATAAGCGTGGGGCTGTTATATGGAGATTTTGATGGTTGGACTATTTCATGCTCAAGCAAGTCCTCGACAAATTCATTGACCTTTGGCCTCATTCCATGTGGAAGAGGGTACTGACGCGTAAAAATTGGTTTTTTCGTATCCAAGGGTATATCCGCCTCATATAACGGACACAACCCTAAGTGGTCAGATTTCTTAGCCAGGACGTTTCTATACTTTCGTAGGAGGGTCCGCAATGGTTGTGTCAATCTTTCTGGACATTCGGAATTTTTAATATTCTCATCTATTAACTGAATCAAGTTCTTGTCTTCTAATTTCCCGTGTAGGCGTTCTAATTTCTCTTTGTCTGTTGACCTCGGAGCAACTTCTTTTGTTGCTAAAACTAATGGAGGTTCTCCAGATAGTTCCAGAACATCAATAATTTCTCCAAATGTGGCTATTGCCAACGTATGTTGAGGTGATAGATCAACATCTTCGTCGCCTACGTTAAGACACAGAACAGGATAAGCTCCTTTATGTTTTCGGGATATACTTCGAGCTACTATCAAGTGACCACAGAGGCCGTTTGACACATA